CATCTCCACTCGACCTCTTCTTGTGTGTGTAATCGAACAATTCCACAACGGTCGGGGGCATGCCATCTTTTGCTCGTGTCTACAAATGTCAAATAATACAAACATGTGTTAATTATAACATATTAAAAATCAAACTACTAAATTAATTGGTTTTAGGTTCTACCAGACGAGCACCATGCTCCGAAAATGGTATCGATCCACCGGGTGTAGCGCAACTTGGCTATCACGGTTCTCACGCGCCACACCGGAAACAGCCTTTCAATTATCACTGTTCCAACGATCGACCATTTGGACCCACACATCTGAAGATATCCAGCTTGGGGGGAAATTCTTCAACAAACTCATATCTCGGTTGGGGTCCGTTTCATCGTACTGAGGATACTCATTCATCCTTGTTTTTTCTCCAGCTTTCTTCCTCGCAGCACTCATGTTATCATTATACGGCTTGGCCTACTTTCTCTCCCATATCTCCAGGATCTGGCATCTAAAGCCGGATCCCAAGTATAATAGCCCTGTACGTAAAAGTTTAGGCGATTATTAGGTTCAAAAAAATACATAAAATATAATTAGTTGAATATATAACACAAACCTGGAACCGCTCCCACATCCGGCGTCTCACGTCCTTTGGGATTTTTTCCCAACTGGTCCATGGGCCTTCAAGTAGCTTTCGGTTGATCTTGGTGATCCGACGGATCACTTTGGTGTCATTGAAACTATATAATTACGAATTGAATTAACATCAATACAAATAATATATTTTTATCAATTAAAAGATGTAAATGTATTTACTCTTTGCCACGGATGCCAATAAATGTCCGCTGTTGTGGAAGCGGCTCCGGAGCAGCACTACCACGACCAGACTCAATCTCCTCCGGGTGTGCCGAAGCGGTACTAGAGCCTCTACCCGTACCGTGGGTAGGTGTACCTCCACTAGTTTGACTGGTAATCCGAGTACGCGGCATTATCGATTTTCTACAAAGCAACGTTAGAAAACATACAACAATTGGCAACCCATTTCTAACATAAAGTATATCTCTATTTCGTTTATAAATACAAGTCCTAACGTTTGCCCAACAATTGNCTAACGTTTGCCCAACAATTGGCAACCCATTTCTAACATAAAGTATATCTCAATTCCGTTTAAAAATACAAGTCCTAACGTTTGCCCAACAATTGGCAACCCATTTCTAACATAAAGTATATCTCAATTCCGTTTAAAAATACAAGTTCTAACATTTGCCCAATAATTTACAACGCATTTCTAGCATAATATAGACCTCAATTTTGTTTAAAAATACAAGTCCTAACGTTTGCCCAATAATTGACAACTCATTTCTAGCATAATATAGACCTCAATTTCGTTTAAAAATACAAGTCCTAACGTTTGTCCAACAATTGGCAACCCATTTCTAACATAAAGTATATCTCAATTTCGTTTAAAAATACAAGTCCTAACGTTTGTCCAACAATTGGCAACCCATTTCTAACATAAAATATATCTCAATTCCGTTTAAAAATACAAGTCCTAACGTTTGCCCAGCAATTAACAACCCATTTCTAACATAAAGTATATTTCAATTTCGGTTTTTTTGGTCTTAATAAATTTGTTTTGCATTCTAAGAAAGTTAATAGTAAACCTTTTGAGTTTTATGATATAGTTTTCACTTTTACGAAGATAAAAAGATTGCTTTCTTATCTCTTGTGACTTGTCTAAAGATCATACAACAAAAGCGTATTATTGTAACTTCATAAAAAAAAATATTTTACTGAAGAGTGACAAAAAAATGTTTGTTTCTTAATGGTTCTAAAACTCTCTGAATGATTTTGTATCATGGGTCTCCCTTACTCATCCATCGCCCTAATTTCGTTGTAAAAATTATCAAACAATTATATTTCATTTTGCATTATATCATGAGAGTCTCTTAATCATTCTAACAACTTAATCATTCAACATCATACCCTTCAACAACCGCCAAACAGCCCCAAGTATACATAAACAATGAGAAGGACTAGTAATGACAATTGAAGAAAAGTTGAGGGTGTAAAGTAAGTTAAAAACTTTGAAGGGTACAATGAAAATGCATGAATGAGGTGGACTTCCAATGAAATTCTTGTTATGTTAATATTTTTATTGGTCTCTTGTCCTTTATTTCAAATTAATCTTTTATATAAATTAATTTAATCACTTTATATGACAAAATATATAATTAATATTTTATTTTATTTTTATATAATTAAAAAAAATAAAAGATTCTTTTCATTTTCCCATATCCATTGTCTCTTTTTATGATCCCATTGAATCTCTTTTTATATCTCCTCCACTTGTATAACCTCCTTTTCCACTTATCCCCCATTCAACCCCTTTCCTTTTTAGTAGCCCTCCATAATTAAAACCCTCTTTTCAATTTATTTAATACTAGTATGGGAACCGCGCGTTGTGTGGTAGCATGAGTGCTTTGATTAATGATGTGAGGATTGTCTATGTAAATATATATTAATTGTTAATAGAATCATCAACAAATCATATTCAAATAATTCGAAAAAATTAAATAAAATATAGTTAGTGAAATTTTAATACACACATATATATATATATATTGAGAGAGAGATTTGTTTAGTAATAAAGTTGTAAAACTAAATAAAATGAATAATAATGACGGAAATGTTAAGGAAAATCTGACACAAACTTAAGAATAAAAAATACTCCACATAAAGATATGTCTCCTTCAAAGGATGATGTATATGTATCATTTTTCATCTTCAACACACACCATGACTTTAAAAACACAATAGTGAATAGACCAACCATACGATATGTAAAAAATCATATACCAAACTTAAAACTTCAAATCTTTATAACTCAATAGATAAAATTATAATGCAATCAAAATTATAATGCAATCAAAATCATAACATGAGCATATATAAAATTATAATACGACTAAACTTACGATAAGAACATACTTAAAAATATAATCCAATCAAAATCATGATACAAACATACATAACATTCTAATACACTCTAAATTACAAAACAAACTTGCATAAAATCCTTACTTTAGATCATAATAAAAAATTCCCACAACTCAAACTTGAAAAGTTCAAATTTTCAAGACTTGTTATATAAACGTTAAAGACTTCGAAAACCAGCAAACCAAAAAACGTTCAACACACTACTAAAAAATCTGGTTTTTCCGACGGCAAAATCCGTCGGAAATCCGTCGGAAAAACAACTTTAAAAGAAAAAATATTTTTTTTTATTTTTTTCCTAACAATATATATAAAGGTTTATTTAAAAAATTAAATTCCGTCGGAAATCCGTTAGAAATTTTAAGAGAAAAAATGTTTTTTTTTATTCTTTCCTAACAAGAAATATATATATATATATATATATATATATATATAAAGGTTAAAAATTTCCGACGGAATTTAATTTTTTAAAATAAAAATTAAATTCCGTCGGAAATCCGTCGGAAATTTTAAAAAAAAAATGTTTTTTTTTATTTTTTTCTAACGAAGATATATATATATTTATATATAAAAGTTTAATCAGCGTTAACCAAAAACAATTTCCGATGGATTTCCGACGGAATTCGATTTGTTTTTATTAAAAATTAAATTCCGTCGGAAATTGTTTTTGATTAACGCTAATTAATTTATTTAAATAAATTAGACAAATTTTGCGACGGATTTCCGACGGATTTGTGACGGTTTTGAATAAGTAAAAAATCCGTCACAAATCCGTTGAAAACCCGTTTTAAATAATTTTAATTTTTTTTCCAAAAAATTCAGTGGGGGATTTGTGGGGGATTTGTGGCGGATATGGATAAAAGTTGACTTTGTTTGACTTTTTTGGGATTCGTCGGGAATATTTCCGAACGGAATTTCCGCCAGAAAAATCCGTCGGTGATACCCTTTTTTTTAGTAGTGATATAAGTAAAAATTACATGGTGAACTTGAACATTTTAAATCTTCACCTAATACATAAGAGTTATAATKCAAACAAAAATCACGATACAAACATAAATAAAATTATAATGTAATCAAAATAATGAAACAAATCAATATAAATTTTTTACCTTATATTGAAACCAAAAAATCAAATATTGAACTTGAAGATTAAGATTTCTTCAAATCTTCATGACATAATGTAAAAAAACTATAATGCAATCTAAATAACGATACAAACATACATAAAATTATGGGAGAAGTGAAAAAAAAAACTATGAAGATTATCAATAGTAAAATAGAAGAAAAACCGAAGAAAAAGAAAATAAATTTATAGATGTATAAGATAGAGATAAAATTTGAGAGAGTGTGAGAGATGAAGATGAATAAATAGTAGTTGTTTATATGTATATAAATAAATGATTGATGGGAAAAGATGAAGGGTTTGGAGTTATGTCATTTAAATTAATATAGAAGGAGATGACGGTTTGGAGTTGAATGCAAACATTTAACAAAAAAACATAAATTGACAAAAAATATATATAGTAGTGCATATTGAGAGAATGAAGGAGAAAAAAGAAAAATGAGGTTCTAGGATTTAGGAGAGGCCACTTCAAACACTCATGGTTTATTCTTTAATATATATAATAATACATAAGAGTTATAATGCAAACAAAAATCACGATACAAACATAAATAAAATTATAATGCAATCAAAATCATGAAACAAATCAATATAAAATTATTACCTTATATTGCAACCAAAAAATCAAATATTGAACTTGAATACTTCTTCAAAACTTCATGACATAATGCATAAAAACTATAATGCAATCGAAATAACGATACAAACATACATAAAATTATGGGAGAAGTGAAAAAACAAAAAAAAAACTATAAAGATTATCATAGTAAAATAGAAGAAAAACCAAAGAACAGGGCTGGTCCAATGGTTTTGGATGCCTTGGACGAAGTGCCAAAAAGATGCCCCTACTCCAATGAACCAAGAACTCAAAATTGCTAACCCGTTAAGTCTATTTGTTTCACAAAGATCGCTTCAAGTTATGTCAAGTGAAATGTACTCCTTCCCGCTTCTAAGAACGACCATGTTCTTGAGTTTATTCAATCGACAACTTAAATAGACAATACCATGATAAAAGCATTGATTATCACAAAAAATGCTACAAATCCCAATCACAAAGATGATTATTGATTGCATTTGTAACAATCTCACAACAAAAAAGCAGACAACTAGACAATATGAACTTTAGAAAGGAGAAACACATCCTACTCTAGCTGAATTAGTTGATCATCTCATATGATGGTTAGGAAGCCTATTTGTAGTGCTTCAAAGTGTGCTTAATAGGGAGACAACCCTCTATTTTCTGTTTCGTTTGATAGCTAGTCCACCTTACTCAGACAGTGACTTCATTTCACCGTATACCTATCTCAATGCTCAAATATTTATATATCATACGTATCTGTTGGGGTGGGAACGTTCACCTAATACGTCTTGTTCATTTCTTTTTCGTTCTTACAAGAAGTTCTAAAGCTAAGCAAGTGAGCAACCTTAAGATCTTTCATATGTAAAACTCCACAGATCTAGGATGAAGTGTACTGTCACGACTATTGAAGAAATTCATCAACATAATTCATACAAAGATTATTTTTACGAACACGTGATCATGAAGTGTACTTTTAATCTGTTTTATACTTGGTGCTTAATGGAACATGATGCAATTTGTTTCACTTGTTCTTTCATGATCCAATATAACCGAGGAGTCGAGGAGGTATAGTATAACGGGCTTGGGCCTAGATGATGCCCCTTGGACTGATGACGGATGATGCCCTGGGCGAAAGCCCATGTCGCTTTTCGAGAACATGATATAGGGTAGATTATGCAGTTTTGTCGTCTGTCCCAAAAGATATAATGGTTGTCTCGTGAAAACCCCCCCAATTTCACCTCAACTCGATTGCCCTAATGTCACCTCTCCAAGAACTCCCGTAAGACATT